TCTTGGCCACAAGGGCACGGTGCTGTCCCAAGGACAAGTCGCTGCCCAGGGGGACAAATTTCTCCACGGACAGAGATCCCACAGACTCTCTGGAATCTCAGCTCTCTACAACACGTTATCAGTTTTTACCGAACATGACCCTGACTCTTCACAATTACAATAACAAAACAAATCAATAACTGTGTTCTAATTGCAATTCACAGATACATACAAAAAGATCGAAGACACTTACCAAGCTGTGAAGTAAATATTCCAATATGCCTGGGCTGAGTAAGCCTATGCTCGCAGGACCTACAACGAACATTAGAAATTAAATTCATCCATGGGAACTACCTCACGCTCATCATGGCACAGATCTTTTTTTAAGCATGAGGCAACAAATTAAAGAGCATCGAATAACTTCAGAGCAAGAACAATTATACCGAACAATTACCATTGTTCCCAGTCAAATATGTGCTACACATTTAGTAGCTACACAGTTACTGACAAATTACATACTCAGTTCACCTGTTGTAAACGGGTACAGAGTTCTAGCTACACTTTGGATTCTGCAGACAGACTCCTTTTCAGTGTTTTCACACTGGTTATGTTCAAAAAGAGACTGGCTCCCCTTTGCTTCCAGAGCCAAAGCGTAAAGACCAGCTCCATTTATCAGTAGCCCAAAATAAGCAAAACAGGGTCTTCTAGAGCCTACTCCAAAGTTAATTATACACTTTGCAGCAGCATCACTGCAGGCAACCAGTGTGAAGAAAACAAAATGCCCCGAAATACTGCCTGCTTCGTCAAGAAAGACATAACAGTGAACCAAACGCTGGTGTCCGTGAACTCTGACAAAATGTGGTTCCAACGCAGCTTTCACAGATTTTCTGCCTGAGCTGACACAGCAAGATCTGTGTCCGCTAAGCCAAAAGTAGATACGGGAGCTCATTGTGCCTTAGTACAACAGGGTGGAAGTACACAAAAAAAGCTTCCTGCCCTCCTTCTTTTTTTTTTTTTTTCTGGCAGAAATATTGAAATTATTTTTGATAACAATTTGGTGACTTTTTCCTCCTTTTTCTGTCTGCTTGCACAAAAGGCGCAAAAAACCTCGATATGAAAGCA